GCAGAGAGGCCAGAACCACCAGAGGAGAGCCAAGACCAGGAGCAGCATCAGGATGAGAAGAGCTATGGCCAGGATGGTCCCATCAGACTGTGACAGAGACAAACAAGTCAACACACACTGCCTGAATGTGCAGAGCACTAAAAAGATGTAAACCACTTCTCTAGGCTTAATGCGTTGTGCTGTAAAGAGGCTCTTTTGGTTTTATCTTCCATGGAATCACTACTTAAGGACTGTGATTCTTGCTGTTGCTGAAATACTTTAATTAATCTGCATCCATCATTTAGACATCTTCTTAAGTTTGTATCGCACTGTTTGTATTAATTGTACTGGTTAGTTATCTCTTAGTAGTGCTAGCCTGTTTTTTTTTTTTTTTTTGCAGTTGAAAAGCACCATTACCCAAAATAATACAGCTTTGAAGCCAAATGCTTATATTGTACTCACACAGCCCACAGTGGTAATGGTGACCGAACTGGAGATGAAACTAAGACCTTCGTTCATACTAACATAAAGGTTTGCTGCCCTGGAAAGGAAAAAGAAAAATATCTCGGCTGTCATTCATGTGGTGCCTTAGAGTAGATGGTGTCATATGAAACCTCACATTTATTGAAATAAATTACAGGACTTACATTCCCTCATCTTGAAGTATTGGTGCAGGGCAGAGAAGATATGTATCTTCCACAATCAAAGGCTTCACCACTAGTGAAGAAGAGGAAAAGAGGGTCATGAAAAACAGAGAATCAGCCAAACATTCCAGTCTTTGTCTTGTGTTAACAGTCAGTAGCATTCACTGTTACATAAAGCTCCCGAACCAGGAGGTTTTACCCACAAACCATGACCTGAATCACCTTTTAAATTATGTCATTCTTCAGCCTGATTACAGTGAGATTAGTTTATTGACTGAATAACGCTGCATGACTGCATTTTAATTCAATAAGAGAGGGGAAACTATGCACATGTTCACAGAAGTGAAATGATGTCACATCTTTCACTGCAACTCGATTAACAAACCGTCTGAGAGGAGCGATTCCTCAAAACAAGTGCTTTGTTGTCTACTGTATGAAGACATCTGTATCCCTCTCAGAAACACCACTATTTCAGCACAGCTTTTGTTTTTCAGGCAAATGTAGGTCCTCTCCTTGTCCAGCTGGCTTTTAGGAGAGTGGCTCCAATGAGCATCGTCGCCCAAGCCTGTCTGTTTATCCTGGCAGGGGGAGAGCATACCCCAGAACTGAGGAAATCAACACAAGCAGCCGCATGGGTCGCGGCTGCTCCTCTCTAGAAAACCATGCAGGGTGGAGGGGAGGGGGGGAGCAGCTCTGCCAAAAACAGCTCCACGCCAATACAAACTGGCCCAGATATGATCCTGCTCAGCGTTCATCTCCGCACCACACCTTGCACTCAGATTGGCCTTACACTATTAAAGCAAGACGAAAAGGACTGAGAGCCTTATAAATGACAAATTACGGCAAAGTCCAGTAAAGAGCTGACAGGACCTGATTCTGCAGGATTCCACTGTTTAAATCCCCCGAGGATAAAGATGCTGGCAAACATCCTGAGTTCATGTCATGATGTTTTATTGGACTGTTTACTCCCCAAGCACCGAGAGAGGTCATGTTTTACTGTGCGGTGCCGACAAGTGCCCAGACTTCAATTTTAACCAGTAAATTATTTGGAATTATTGCTTAAAATGATGGTAGAAGTACAACCTTTGAGAGACTATTTATTGGGACGGACTGTCAGTAAGGTCAATTTAAGTAGACTATGGGGACACAGCAGCATGTTTGAGTTGTTGAATTAATTTACATGAAGTACTTGAATTTATCATATTTAGCTTAAATTGTATTTGAAGGAATAATTCAAGTATCTGGAAAATACACTAATTCACTTTCAATACCTCTGTAAATATGAAGCTATAACCTGGAGAGCTTAGGAAAGCATAAAGACAATAATAATAACTCATGTTACATCCTGCTGCACAGAAGCCCTGAAAGGCAAGTGAAAAAATTTCACAGATGAAAAATAATGTGAATATTTCGGTACATTTCTTTAATCTGTTAAACGTTTTTATGTGCCAGACTATTTCCTGGAGTGTTGTCATCACCGTGAGAGGAGACGGAAAAAAATATTATGTTTTTTTTTTTTTTTACATTTTAGTTGTTGTACGGATTAAACAAATTACATATAACGTGATAATGAGTGAGTTTTCGAGTTGTAGGGAGATTTAGTCACCATTGGAAATAGCTATTCAAGCTGTTATCCTTGGTTTCAGTCTTTATGCTAAGCTAAGCTAACCAGCTGCTGGCTGTAGCTTCAATAGAGTGGTGTCGATCTTCCCATCTTACTCTCGGCAAGAAAGCAAATTAATCCCAAAAAGTTGAAACATTTCTTTAAAGTCTTGTTTCCCATCATTCACACAGTTCAATATTGGATTGCCATTGATGGCTCCAAAGTTGCAACATCTGTCACCGGAACAATGGTTAGCTCAGGCTCTGCCAAATCCCAGCCTGTCTGACTGTATTTGCTGCTACTTTTTCCTGGAGACACAAACTCAAACATCTATTCATCTGCTCAACACATGCAGGTACATATTGCTGGTTTCCTTTATACAATTTCACCATATTTGCAAAGAATGCAGAGGGCTGGAGCGGGGGAGTTGCTGAGGGCAAGATGTATTCAAGAGAAGAGAAATGGTTTTCCTTATAGGCAATCACATATTCATCTCCAAGCAAGCTAACCCTGGCCTCATTATTTTTTAAAGTTAACCCCCGATGTGAGGTAAACAAGTTCCAGAGGATTGTGTGTAAACAATCTAGAGAGGTGGATGTATCTGGAGGAGTATACAAGTATAATGGGATTGTCATAAGGAGATTATTTTACTCAAATTGTTTCCATGTCCGCTGTTTGTCTGCAGGAAGTCGGATGTTGTATGACGCAGAAACAATTATGATTCTGAGAAATTAACGTTTGATTAATAGTTAAAGGACTTTTTTTGTACTTTCTTGGAAAAATTGGATTTAAAGAGCATGATGTTGATCACCAAAATCACCACCATTAAAGTAAAGTCTCTCAGGATAGCTAAAAAGTACTGCATGTGTGCTATAATGCATGCTATATATAGTACATACATGAGAAAGCAGAAAATATGTTTAACCATCATGCAACATGTCACTAAACTCCAAGACAGACCACATAGATAGAAGCAACTTCAAAGAGAGTTGACGGCAGGAAATATTCCCATAATACATTCCTATTCCTATATAGAGTATATGGAAGATGATGATCTGCAGCTGACTGACTGAGACATGGAGAAGGACTGACATGAGCTAAAAAGAAACAGAAACAGCCAATTCTCACTCAAAGGAGTAGATCTTTTGTTTGTGCTTCAGTTCTGATGAATATCTTGCTTTGTAATTAGACCAGCACCTCCTGCAGCTATTGTGGCATGCCTGGTAGGAAGTGGTTTTACAGTAAGCCACCAGTAACGACCGTGGGGAAACTAGTTGTATCCTTAAGGCCTTTTTCCACCTTCTGCCTCGTGTGTGGTACTCGTTCTCCTTTATCTCTTGTTTCTGGCTCCTTTCCAGGCTGTAAAATTACCCAATGTGTTGCTTAAAACAAAAAGCCATGATACCAGTAACACCAGCATGACTCCTTGTTTGATCACAGAGGACTCCAGCTGTGTGGCTGGACTTTGTGTTTGACTTTTGGGAATTTAGATGTATTTTACAATGAGCTGCTCACTCATCTGTGTATTCCGGCTGTGTTTATTGTAAATTAACCGAGCAATCAGCTTTGATGCTCTGAGTCAATGTGTACTCTCATGTGTGATGAAACACTGCATGCAGTTAATCCGAGATGGCGAGGAGATGCTCGGTGATGTTTCACTCACTCTTAGTAACGGTGTCGTTGATGCGGAAGCTGCACAGAACCTTATCGATATTGCGGGCGTGGAGAAATCCATTTCCTCTCACCACCACTTGGAAGGTCTCTGATTGAGGAGAGGAGAGACACAAACGTCACCGCAAGAATTTAAAATAAATTTACCATGAATTTGATTTATGTAAAAAAGTAAAGTAACAAAGTAACACCCAAATGTCTCATCGTGTTAGTACATCATGTCAACAACCACTGTTGACTCGCCACAGTGTTACGAAAATTCCTTGAAATGCGTTTAGTGATTTTGTTGTTGGAAATATGCCACAAAAAAAAATTACTAATTTTTGTCAAAATACTGTAGCTGTAGTTGGCATAATGTCATTATTAACCTTAATATCCTGTTTGTTCTTTAACAGCTTTTATCATTTAATATTGTTTTATCAAACTGATTCATGACTTTTCCTCCTGTTATGAAAACTGCTTATAAACTGGATTTTGAACCTATGACATGTTTCAGTATATACAATACATATATATATATAATACAATTGATACAATCTACATTTCTTTGTCTGTACTGACTTTTAGGCAGATATTTGTTAATGTGTAGCCAAAATAACCTCCTTGTTTGGTGTAATAAAAATGTTTAATGATAATTGTTGTCATCTTCATCAAATGTGCAAGCCCAATTTGTTATAAAAAAAATAAAATTATAAATGTATTTACACAACAGCATGTTAACAAGGGTTAAATCGTGTAGGAAAACTAAGTCTGATTTCATTAATGAAGTCACCTGATGAGGATGAATGGGAGGTAAATCGTCCTTGTCTTACCTCCTGCACAGATACTAGAGGGCTCTGCTGCCAGGATCTCAATACAGGACTTCTTCAGGATCTGAGGAGATGAACAGGAAGGCAACACTTTTCAGCAGCCAGCCAGCAAATATCAAATGTTGGAGCATTCTCAAACACAAGAATTTTACCATTAGCATTACTATTTGAGGACAATATTGTAGTGCTGTTATCTGATACAGTGCAATGATACAATAGTATCTTCTCTATCTTGTCTTCTCTTTTAGACTAGTTTTAGCCACAGCCAATGACTTTTATGTGCCAATTAATTAACCTTTTTGCCACTGCGGCCACTGAGACCTTCAAGTCTCCATCTGTGCTCTGCAGATGTGTCTGTACCTGCTGCTCTCAACTGAAACCCTGAAGACGAAGGAGACTGATTCATGGCCTACTGCCCCACTCATAAGAATAAGGAGCAACAGCTTTCACTGTTAATTTGCTCCAGATGACAGTCAGCTGCCTGACCTTTAACTCTACTCGACAAACCTTGTATCCCAGTGACCCTTCACGACAAACATTAATTTTTCATTCATCGAGTTAGAAAATACAAAGAATGAAATCAACACCAGTGAGGTGGGTCTTAAGGGATACGGCACACACTTCGATCATGTTTGGCCAGATGTCAGCTGTGATGATCAAAAGCAGGAAAGTCACAGTTGTGGCAGGTTTTCCTGGAATTCTGTCACTGGCCAGGCTCCATGGATGGAATAACTTAGCGTGCTTTAAACCTGTTTTCCTCTGTTTCCTGTGTGCTATTTCATCAGCGTGTTGACGGATTAAAGAAGATGTGATGGGAAAGATTACATGAAGTCCATTAAAGCAAGATGATTTCCTGTGGACCTCTAAGACACATTACTGAAAGTATCATGTTCAGTCCTCAGTGGTAGTATTGGTGATATCTGAACACGTTTGTAGGCAGAACTGAAATGCTTACCGAGTCAATGACCCCCTGCAAGGCTTCAAATCCATCATTCACAGGGAAGACGTGGTCCTTACTATCAGCAATCTTTGCCAGCTAGAGAGGAAACAAGTTATTACTATCACAAGTAACTGCACACATATTTATTCACAATCTTACTACCATTTCACTCTCTGAAGCTTAGACATTGACATGAGACATTAAGGTAAAGACTGAAACTTAGTGAAAAATAGGCACCTGTGTCTCATTGAAGTCCTTCACCCCCACACAGTAAACTGAGGCACCCAGACTTCGGGAGCGATTGGCCTGTCAGGTATGCACAGATTCACAGCAAAAACAGGAAGAAGCTCAGCACCTGGATTCAATTACACCGCTGCATTTCATAACATCATCCAAAACACTGTCGAAAAAAGGTTCTTGTTTGTACGGCCTCTAACAAGATTTTACAAAAAATTGGGCAACACCATTTTCCAAGTGAATAACATTATTCAGACATCATAATCATAACAATATCATAACAATATAAATGTCGAATAGATGCCTCATCACTAAATTGAACACACAAGCCAAACACTTCATTTCCAAGTAATAATGCCTGTGGATTTTGGTGTTGACACTAAATGACAACCCACAGCTGTCAAGAGAAACATTTCCAGCTTCTGTGAACATCAGCCCCACTTCATCCCTGCCGTCAACGTGTGTCTGAGGCCACTCAAAGCTGATTATGCAGATTTTGCACGCCTCTACCTGTAGCGACTAAATGGTCTGAGGAGCAAATAAATCATTAGATTCCAGCACAGATGTGAGGAGACTGACTGGGCTCGGATGTATAAATCTGACAGACGCTCTGACGCCATTTTTCCAGACAGAGGAAGAGGATCAAAGTGGTGATGTATAGGGGTGCAGTGTTTGATCTGATCCATCACATGCTTAGTCATATGTTTCATCTGGTTATAATTTGTGTGACCCATTTAACCTCTCTTTATCTCTCTTACCTCCCTCTCAGCATAGTAGAAGAGATCCTCGTGCAGCTCTCCGTCTGTCAGAGCTATAATGACACTGGCAGTGCGATAACCTGCAGGACAGAAAGAATTTGTTCAACCTCTGCTGTAATTTCACACTCTTACGCTAACTCTTCCATCCATTGCAAATAACCATGCAACATCATCCGTTTTGTAGCAAGGCAAAATCAAATCACTAGCTCGATAGCTCTAATTTCAATTCCAAGTAATTCCAAATCAAGGAGCAAATCTAACTTAAAGGGCCAGTTTGTTCTAATTAGAAGGATCTATAAATGCCACTGAATCCTATCACACTGGAGCTTTAACGCAATTAAGTTTATGTCACTTCTGACATATGTGATATTAAGTCAATTCAAAAACCTGCATTCATGTTTACATATTTGCTGTGAGTAGGTTATATAATTTGAATCATGAAGTGGTAAAACAGAGCAGAAGCATTTTATAGTTTTGCCCCCCCAAACTTAACCACAGGTATCTTGGGAAAGTCAAATTTGGCTTACCCTACATTAAAGAAATTTTTACTGCATAAGGAAATGTATACACACCTTCAGTGTTTCCATAGTATATCTGCTCACTGGCCTGTGAAAAAAGATAAGATGGTTTGAATCAGTAGACTGTCTATCTGGTAGCAAGCAGTGAATAAAGGAACTCCTCCATGCTCTAACACAATGGCCATTTAGCTTTTCTGGACCATGTGGTGTTTGTTCTGGAGACAGAGCAGAGATAAAGCAGATGCCATCTTGGAGTTGGACATGCACTGCACTGAGACTGCTCACCCTCAGGATGCCCTCATGCATGAAGGTGTCTCCCCCAGGAAGTACTCCGTGGAGCTCCTCCAGACCTTTGCGAATGCGTTCCCTGAGCAGACATACAGATGACGAGGTAATCCACATTGTTGATAATCCAATCTAACTGAAAATATTTATTTTGTCAGATTCATTTGTGAACACACTTTAGACTAAAGCCAGACACCGTGAGGCGTGGTAACAAGATAATAGTTTCCATAAGGGCAGCATTTGCAGAAAATATTAGCGTGTGTAACAGATGAATGAATTGAAACAGTATTGGTGTGTATTGGCTCGAGAAACTGTCACGCAGATAAACCGGAAATGAGCCCTTTGCAGAATAAGACACGAGGGAAGCAGTGAAAAAGTGAAAATATTTTGTGGCTGCTGAGACACTCTGCTGAGGAAGGATTAGACACATAATCTTCCCACAATGTGTCAAAAACTACACCATGAAGTAGTTGTCCAGACCGAGGACACTACAGACAGATCACAGTGAAGGAAAGTATCTGTCTGGAATCGCTTCTTGGTCATAAAAATTCAGAGGGATCATAACTGTGTGTGACCTGTGTCCAAATCTGGTATTACACTCATTCCTTTCAGATGGATGATAGAAAAGCAAGGGATTAAAAGCAGTTTTGAGGGGGATCTTCACCCACCTGTCTTCTGTCAGGCTCATCAAGATCCGTCCCTCAGTGGAAAACACAATGAAGGACATCCGCAACTGTGGACTGGGGTAAGCAGAAGAGAAAAGTATTCTCTGTTAATCATTTCATGTTACATGTTTTTCGTCGCGCACCTCATGACACAATTAGGATTTTCTTTTTTTCTACCTTATGAATTTATGAGCTAGATGTTCAACAAAGTGGTAGATTTCATTCCAGTGATTCTGCACACTCCCGGATCTGAGAAGAGAAAAGCAAAATTAATGTGCGGATGTGTTTTTCAACCACTGTATCTTAACTGTGGTTCTCATGGAACCCCAAGATTTAGGTATAACTGTCCATAGATTAACAATGAAGACTGTGAGCCGTACGAACAGTAGCCATTCTTATACATCCTTGTTTTGCATCTCTATGTAGTTGCTTTATGTCACTTTGTAGTGGTTTCGTATTTCTTTGTAGTTGTTAAGCATCTCTTTGTAGTTGTTCAAAATGTCCACAAAGAGTCATTTTGGGTCTTTTTGTGGACCTTTTGAATCTCTTTGTTGTCATTTTGCATGCCTTTGTAGTAGTTTTGTGTCTCAAGTAGTCATTTTGAATCTTTGCCCGCAACACCCTTGCAACCAGAAGGTCAGTAATCATTCCACTGAATAATCTCTAAAGGGAAAGGGAAAATAGCGAGAGCCTGCAGAATAGTTCTGCATGAGTAAATGCTTTGGGAAGCACTGCTGGTGAGAACACAATGATGCTGTACTCCTCAGATTAGTGTTTACATCTTTATAATGCACCTTCAATTAAATGTACCCTCATTAAGCCTCCATCCAACCAACTCTATGATCAGAACTAGGTCAGTGTGGATGTTAAACATCTTGAACTATGTTTCCTCTTTGCTAATGAACTCCAAACTGGGCTGGTGCACATTTTTACTTGATGTTTATTGGATTGTATAGCAACAGCCACAAAGTCTTCTGTATCCTGCTCTGTTGTTGTTTGGAAATAAAGATAAAGGGATTAAAGAATTAGGAGGAGAGAAGCTTTTCAGTAGAGTCATCTAATCTAATTATCTATAGATACACAGTTGTATCTGATTAATAGAGAGCAGTTTTGCAAGCTTGCATGGATCATTGTTGATGCTTATCAAAATGTCTTTCATTTAAACTGTGTTTTTATAACCCCACATTCCCCTGCATCATTTCTCAAAACATCTATTTTTCCATTGTTACCATCACACAAGTCCCAGCACAAACAGCCTAGCCAACAGGCTGAAACATTGGAACATTTGGTTGTAATGGAGAAAGGGCAGAGCAGACACACAGAAGAGAGGAGAAGAGAGATCAGAGCGATACTGCAAGAGGACAGTAAGTGCAAGTGGAGGACATCCCTGCTAAAAGGCAGCAAAGCCAGCTACAATCCCACCTGGAGAAAAGAAAAGGAACAGCTAATGCAGTGAATTGATGCCCGACAATAAATTCTGTCACGTCACACATGTAATATAAATCTGTGTCGTTAAAACATGGCTCACGTTAACAAATACTCTCTATTACACACAATTGCCTAATTTCCCCTCAGAGCAACATCAGTCTGCCTGGAGTTGGCACTGATGTGTACTGTAGGACAACTGGAAAATGCATCACCATCTCTGGAGCTACAGAGAGGGAGATGGCAGACTGCAATCCTTCAATCCCGTCTTCAAGATAAGAAAAATGATAAGTTGAAAAATATATTTGTTGTTAAACTGAGGAGATGAACAGCTTGTTGTTGTTAGTTGGCAAACATTTTGGTTTGTGGTTAAAAAAAGAAAGAAAAAGTAATAAAAACAAGTAGTTTTAAGTAGTACTCTGTTACAGTCCAAAGGCAACAGTCTGGGTAAGTTAATTGTCAATACCAGAGGAACTGTGAGCATATTTATCTACAAGATAAAGTGCTTTGCCTTCAAGTCCCAGTTAAACACTGGTAAACACAGCTTGTGTGTGACACTGACCCTCTTTGAGAACCTTAAACTGTTTTCATTTGACTGGCTTTGCTAATGAGATTGCTTAATACCTTGCTAAATTTGTAGAGTATGGTAATGCATCACATGCATCCTCCAAATAACTGCAAAAAATGTAAGAAATTAAAGGAACCAAATAATGTCTCATAAAAATGTTACTGACTGACTTTCTCGTGCCCATGTTGCATGACTGCATGACATGAAAGAAAACAGAGATCATCCAAAACCAGGTTAGATAAACATTGATTTAGAAACAGAACTGTTTCTAAATCAAGACCAATGTATCCAAAAGATTTTGAGGAGGTCCAAACATCCTGTGTCCTACTTTAGATACACTGAGTGCGTTAGAACTCCAAGAGGATGAGGAAATCTAACAGGTAATTTATGCACTAAGAAGAACACCAAACACAACAGTAAGCTACATTGCGTATAGTCTTTGCAGCCTGCAGCAGTCGGATGAATGGGGGAACACCTAACACATCACTAATCATTACCAGCTGTAGACAAATGCCAAGTTGAAATGTAGAACGAGGCCTATCAGAGCAATGCATCATCAGTCCAGCCATCAATTTTTCAGCATGACATGACACCAGGGGGCGTAATGATAACAGAAATGGGGATGACATCATGAAAACATTTTAGCAGACCGTGGTGGGAGAAGCACAGGTGCAACATAAAATAATGCATATTTACTTTATGCATAATTATGTGACATATTTTTTAAGATCATCAGCAGAGACAGTTGAAATATTCAAGTCAAGCTGAACTTGGAGATAAATGCAGAAGTCAATTCTAATTCAAAAATAATATGCTGTTTCTATATTTCTCGTACACTTTGACCTGAATAACTTTCACTTGATAACATAAACCATCCTATTCATCCATCCCCTCTGAATGTGTCAAGCAATGTGTCAGGTAACTCACTTGTCCAAAACAAAGTAAAGATCAAAGCCTCCAAAGCATGAGGAGGACCCAGCCTGCCTCCTGTCCTGGTTCGGTCCAGCATTGCCAGCGGTAAGAACAACCAGCGCAGCACCAAACACCACAGGAAACCAGGAGCTTCTACTCCACCACGAAGGCATTATTCCAGCTGAAGAAAATCTCATACAGATGGTGATGATGAATAAAACCAACTTCAAAAAAGTTAAAGTTAAACAAAATAGCTGCAGAGTTAATCCTCCTTGCAGATTCTTCTTTCAGTCCTCCACAGGCGCCTTCAGCATTTAAAAGAGCAATAATCCAAAGGAAGGCAGTAGGTGTAACTCAAAGGTCGAAGTAGAGGGGAGAGAGAAAGCATGAGTGTTGTGGGTCTCACTGTTGTTGGGACCCTCTCATCAATGGGTCTGCACAAAGATGAGAAGAGCTCCACAACCTCCCACTCTTGGCTTTTGTTAATGATAAGGCCATGCAACAGAGAGATCCTCAGACCCTGATTGTCTAACTCTTTGCAAAACTCTTCTTGTATTTTCAAGTCTCTCTCTCTCTCTCTCTGTCTCCGTCTCTCTCTCTATTTCTCTCTGTCTCTCTTTCTCTGGAGAGGAAGACAGTGATGAAGACAATGCAGTGGAAACACCAGAATCAGCTGGGTTGTCCTGCCACCTGGTGGTGATAAGTGACCAGTGGCTGCTTTGCCACTAAACATGTATGAATCTAAACTCAGTGACCTCTAATACTGTGGACTGAATCGTACAAATCTACCACTGCAATAAATACTACCTCATGTTCAGTTTTCGGAGCAAATACGTCAAAGAGGTGTTAACTCCTTTCTAATTGTATTGTTTAGGCTTAGTTTGCTGTGATGTTGTGTTGGATTACATTAAGGGAGGCACTTTTGAAGCACTGGACATCCCCATATATGTAGAGAAAATATCTCTTTAGTTCATTTAATGCTTGATCATATGTGATTTACATAACTGTGATCCCCATAAGTCCCTTAAAATTACATCACTGGTAAGTTCCAATTGGCTGATGCTGTAAGCCACCCCTGCTGATGACATTTATCTGCAGTAGTCAGTGGAAAGAATAAATGTTTCCAGACACAGAGCATATAAAAGGTTGAGACAACAGCACATTGCTTTGTGTTTGCGTTTTGAGACAATCAATATGTGTAAAAATATTTGTATTTGATTATCACTCTGCAATCACCTGCCAGTACGGTCTGGTGCAAGTAAACAAAACTTCTGTTTTGGTAGATTTGATTTTGTTTCAGATTTGGAAGTTGTCTTTCTTCTCAATACAAGTATTTCTCCAGCTCATCAAAGGACCGCCCACTCATATTCATAACATGTAACAAACAAGTCAACATATTGCCAAACTTGATATTGTTCTGTGGAATAAATATCAATCCAGTCTTTCTTAAGAGGGACAATATTATAACATATAATACTGTAGAATTCTATAATAATATAATTAAACCTTATTTTCAGAAAATAAAGCAAAAACTGTATGTATCATTTGGAAGACAATAGTAAAGGCTCAAATAAGACATTAAACCATGCTAACAATAATAATCTCATTTTGAAAAACATGTTCATGATTTTGACATGAGTCTTAATCAGTGTTAATTTTTCTTTTACTCATTAAAACATCAATTTACAAAAATATATGGGATTATTTACTGACAACAGATAAAAATAACAGTTAAATAACACATAGTAATTCATCAGAATAAATGATCACAATTAAATTTTAATTATAGATACAGTGGTGAATGACCAGAATGTTGAACCAACACTTTAATGGAATAATGCAAATGTTGTGACATGAATACTGTTAATTAAGCAGAACCAAACTGAATCTACTGAATAATAAATTAATAATAGCCTTTTTATTATAACTTGATGAAAGTTATAAAAATTATACAGTTTAAGATTAAGAAATTAAGGCTTCTTCTTCTTCATGTTCATTAGTGTAAGTGTATTGGTGTAGTTTGTTGCGTCATGGTCTGTCGTATCGTCTCTCCCTCTGTCTCTCTCTCTCTCTCTCTCACCCCAACTGCTTCAAGGCAGATGACCACCCAACCTAGGAGGCCGAAGGGTCTGTCCTAGGGTTTTTTTCTGCCTTTTCACAGGCAGTTTTTCTTCCTGGCCCCCCGTCGGCCAAGTTGCTTGATCATGGTTGGCGTAGTGGTTGGCGTTTCTGTAATTGTTAAAAGGAGGTTCGGTCTAGACCTGCTCTATTTGAAAAGTGTCCTGAGATGACTTTCTGGTGATGAATTTGGCTACCTATACAAATAAATTGAATTGAATTGAATTGACTGAACGAATCTCCTAACCTTATGTCTACGTTTCTTCGTTCTTATAAGATTCTCCCTGCCAGGAACCAGATACAAGTAACTGAAGGTAATCTGTTTTGGAGGGAAAATTGAGGTCCCTTTTTTATTTGTGTTTTGATGCTCTTCGAGAGCCAGGTCTTTACTTCCAGAGTATCCATGGCTTGAGGGCTCCTGTTGGAACCGACTGCTGATCGACCTTTAGATCAATGACAACAGTCTGCTGGCTGAATGTGTGTGTAAGATAGCATGGTCAGACAGTGCTAAAAACTACCCTGTTAGCGAAGCAATAGTGCGTCTGGATTAAAGGGGAGCGGGCGGGGGGGGGGGGCGCGCGCGCGCGGGCGGGGCGGCGTCGTTCTTGTTACTTCATACATTTAATTTGTTCATGCAACTAATTAGATGCGATTCCTCTTACTTCCTGCCGTGCGTTATGTTTTTTTTCTATGATATGCAGTGCTCTTTCTCTGGCCTGGGACTCGAACACATAACATAAGTTGGAGCCTAGGCAATAAACAACTAAGTTTGATTGGCTTTGGTCGTATTGGTGTCCTTTGTATTGTTTGAACAGCCCGAGGTGCGTTGCATTGTACCTGGGGAACATGCTCGGTGATTATTTTGCCTCTATTGTGTCCATTATCAGTTTGGTTTATTTGCGAGTGGATCGCAAATAAGGGTCAATGAAATTATGAGACCCATTGGCTTTTATTGTGTAATCAAGAGAAATGCGAGCGGCAAGCGTGAGATATAGTCCTGACCCAGCAGAGTCTCCCTAGTGTCTAGTTAGGTCTTCTAGCGATACCTCATACTGGGTTGATTGAATAATCACATTCCTCAACTGGCTCAAGTTCACTTCACTTGCATAATTAGTCGTCTTCAGGTGTGTATACGGCACACAGCTCGTCATGGATGTTGACTCATACAATCATAGTTTAGTGTACAAGGAGGGAATGAGTGCGCAGTATGTACCGAGAAACCGGAGCAGTGAGGTAAGCAGCACGGACGGGAGGCGCACACAAGCAACGCCCATGTTTATACTTAATAATCTATTTCTTATTGGGATACTGATCTTCATGTTAATACCAAATCGAAAATTAATAGAAAGAACATAGTCTTATGTGAAACAGTAGGATCAGTGGTGTAAGTGGAGTGCATTAAAGTGGAGAAGTATATGGAGTGCTTGTGTATGAAT